ATATTCGGTTGAAAATTGGTAAGTTTTAGTGGCAAATCACCACGGTTTTCGAAGTTCAATCTGTTCCTCTGTTTTGACGAAATTGCATTTGCGTGGCTAAAACCAGCTTCAACCATGTAAAAAGTTGGGAATGCAAGTAAGAAAGGTTCAGCTTCTGCTCTGAGCTTGGGATAGTTAGTGGCAATATTGCTATTGCTCCAAAATTCACTGAGGTTTTTATTTTTAAACAATGCTTTAGCTTCGAGATCTACACATATTTCAATCAGTTTATCTTCTAAGCAGGTTCATTACCTTCATTATCTATTTTTACATCAAATGGATTAGCAAACCATTCGGAAACATGCATATTCTTCAAGTCTTCGAAACGTGCTTTAAAGTATTCTTTTAATTTATCAAGATGTTTAATATATATCTCCAAATCACTGTCAGAAATCTTTTCATTTTCTCTTAGTACTTGCATATTTGAAAAATATTTAAAATCTGCTTGAAAAATTGTAACGTTTTTTTTCTTGCAAACGTTTCTGTACTATATTAATGATTCTTGATATATTATGATATCTTCTCTGTAAAGGACAAAATATCTACATTTAGATATACAATACTTAAAGTGACAACTCTAATAGAGTGTAACAGTACAACGTATGTCTGTGTGTAATGAACTACCAGTGTTCATAACATGTTTGCTAGTACAGTTTCCAGATGAGTGAAAACAGAGTAACACATGCTTAAAGCGGTGTAGGCTAAGGCAAAACTCAAGTTATAACTAGGGTAGTCAGTAATGTTGATCATATCCATATTTCAAATTTCTATTAGAATATACTATTTTTTCCTAGACAGTTTAGTTGATCCTCTTTGGGATTAATTGACCCCTTTCGACCCTCGTGTATTAATCGACCCCTGGATAACTCTTATCGACCCCAAGGGGTCACTATCGACCACTTTGGGGACCCCTAATCTAGAACATTCCAGAACTTTCCAAATTCTAAATTTTTTCTTCTTTCTTGCAGGTGCACATTCTCATCTAGCTCAAAAACATCTACTATTACCTTTATTTTATTAATCAATTTTCATTTCATCATCTAGGTTGGAAGAGGTCAAATAAATTTTTGGAAATAAAAAATCTCCTCCACAGACATAATGTTAAAAAAAATCACTTTTTATTTTTTACTGTTTTCATTGAGTTAAAAATTTTAATATTCTATATTACTATAGCACATTAAGTGTTCTATCACTTACCACACAATTATGTTGAAATTGCTATCATGTTATGAAAAATCCTTATGAAATGAAGCCCTTTTAATGCATTTCTATGAGATAAATGGTCTTAATTTGTGTGAATTTTTATTTACATACCTAATACAGATATGCAAACTAGAGTTTGGCAAAACTTAGTATTTTAAGACTTGACAAGTCCAAATCTGTATTTAAATACTGTGTATTGGTTTCTGTTTATTAAACTTTGGTATCTCCAAAATGTTCAATCAATAAAAAATCTATACATTTTTAACAAAGTTCAAAGAAAATATTTTTGTCTACTTTAGTTGCTTTTTGTTTAGGTCTATAATGGACCGTTTATTTTGAAAGTGGTGTAAGTCCATTTTTGGAAAAAATTGAGAAATTACATAATATACATACAATTTAGTGTGAACTTTTTATTTATAAACAACCATACATTTTGATCAATTAAAAATTCATCAGTAAATTACATTGCATAACCATTGATTATAAAAGTCCATTTTCTGCAGTCTAATTAAGCACTTGGGCTGTCCATAAATTACATCTGCATTTTTCTTGAAATTTTTACTCACCTCCTTTTGTCCCAGTTTGTCCAAGTTTTTGTAACCTCTCCTCCTTGGATGTCCAACATAACTCAACCCCCATTAAAACCTTCATCACTTTATGAATATAGATACCATAAGTAAAAATGAAACATACAAGAAACTTCAAAATAAATATAATAAAATGCATAAACTGTATAAAATTTAATAAAATAAATGGATGTTCACTAATTCTAAACCCCTCCTTGTCCAACTTGTCTTAATGGAGAGGGTTAACACCCTTCCTTCCTTCCGGTATGGACATCATTTATGGACAGCCCCTTACAACAGAGAAGTAAAACTATGAATTTTACCAACAAATGTAGAATTTGATAAAATGAAAAAATCAATGTAATGAACCTAAATGAAAAGCAGTGTCTAATGGTAAGCTCATAATAATGATAAACTTTTCATAAACTAGTTTAACAATACGAAAATATTTTTAATGTTCAGAATAAACAATGCTATTTTATTTCTTGTTATTAAATATAAACAAAATCAGAATAAAACAATGTGTTTCAAGTGAAATTGAGTTTTTACAAAATAGAAATTTAATGAGTTTTACAGTTCAATAATTATGAAAGTGGTGTAAGTCCATTTATGGCCCAGAAAGAATATATTAGTTTAGTTAAATTCACATAGAATTCTTTATGCAATCAACTTACATATTTCTAAAGTCATAGAAACATTGTCAAACTTAGTACACTTTATTTATATTTTTGAATCAACTAAAATGCAAATGTTTAAATATCTTGAAAGAAGAAAAAATGAACTTACACCACTTTCAAAATAAACGGTCGATATATTGAGATTTCAAACATTTAGCAAATACAATTAAATAATTAAAATTCATACCCTATTTTGCAAACACCACTTTAATTATAATTACCAAATTATTGTTGTTTGCAGCAATACTTGTAACATTTCAAGTATGCACAAAATGAACTACTATTATACAAAACAAGATATCTTAAACAAAAATAAACTAAATATAGTAAAACCTGGGTAAGCCAGAATTGCAATGTACAAAATATTTTTTCTATTCTAAGCAGATTTTAGTATATAGTATTTTTCTTTTGTCCAGATAATACCAGATAAATGTCACACAGTTATTGTAAGGGGATCGAGGGGTGATTTCAAAACAAAAAATAACGATTATATGTGATATCGTTATCATCTCCATTGCCATCTGGACTGCCAAGTGATAACAGTCAACGTCATGTGGGAGCAGTTGAGTCAGAGATCGATGCCTCATTTATAAACAACACAACCCATTTATTAGAAAATTTAACTTACAAAAAGTTCATAGTCACAAAGGGTTTAAGTCCTTGTATACTTCAGCACAGTTTTCAAAGAAGAGGAAAGTCCAGCAATGATGATGGTTTCCTATTGCTGACTGGATGTTGCATTCAAAGTCCAGTTCTCAAACAGAAAATGATGTCCAGTGAATGCAGATCAGAATGTCAAAGTTTCTTTCACAAAGGTCTATAACTTTCGGAGGATACATTGGCAAAGGACGAAGATGGAACCTTGTGGGAAGCACCCCAGCAAGGGACATAGCCTCATGGGACACCACGGCAAAGAACCAAGTGTCCCTGTGGCCTGGGCTTAAATATCTTTTTGTCTCACAAATTGTCACATTATTGGTTAACAAATACCCTTTCTCGGTTGCAGATTGGTCTTTCTCTGTTACCAGGTGAAACTGGACCAAATCAGTTCCGGAGAAAGACGACAGTTTATGAATACAATTCAACACTGTCTTTCGTTCAGTGTTGAACAAACATTGTACTGTACCTTAACTAACATTTCCTTTTTTGTTCATCTTGTCTTATAAAAAATTTAATTTACTAATTTTTCTTTTTTTCACATGGTTTTAATATTAAAATAATTTTATTTTTTCCCTTTTCCTTTATTTAATTCCCTTAATTTTAATTAATCACGAAAATCAAGATTCATTTTTGTTTTGATTTTTGGTTAAAAGAATGTTTTTCATCCCAACCCAGGGCCTCACATTATGTTCATTTTTTATAGTAAAATCAATTTTATGTATGTAAAAATTTTTATTACTAGGTTTAGCCCAAATTAACCCAAAGCAATTCCAAAAATGGGAGTATTTGAATGCAAAAATTGAGAACTATTCAATTGCAAAAGGTTTTCATTATTTCCAAGAAGTTATGTTAGATATTTGAATACTTCTCAGATATAAACCTTAAGAACTCACACACAGTTACTAAGTCAATTCAAGTACCAAAATCTAGTGCCTTGATTGCTGTCAGAAATTCTAATTGCATTACAGTAATATAGAGACTGAGTTATTCTGTGATCTAGCTTCTCAAGGAATTTTAAAACTTACAACTGTAAATACTTTTCCTACAGTTTAAAGATACATAAATGATTTTAATAATTACATAATAGTATTTTGGGCCAAATATATTTTCTAATAATTCACTGGTTTCACACTTCAAAAAAAATTATGATAAAAGTTGGAAAAAAGCAAGACATATCTACATCATCAAGCTTTCCAACCCTATGCCTTAATAATTGGTCCATATCTACTTGTTACAATTTGTTTATAGAACTCAATATAGAGTATAACACAAACAGAAAAGTTTAAATAATGATGTCTCCTAAACTATTGCTCATTGGCATGAGTTATGTTACTATGCATTACAGGTATACTAAAATGTATTAAAATTTCAACAAAATTCAGGATGTCAAAGCTTGGATGGCTCCTTATAAGAAGGCCATTTTTTTTCCATGCCCATCATGGGTTCAGCCAGGACCAAAACGGGGTGGCTGAATGGTGAAGGATAGAACTCTTGATCCTTGGTTGTGAATAGTCATGAGTGAGTTATTTAAACAGTGATCTATGATATTTAAATATATTAAAAAAGAAATTATGAAAATTTTTTATGTAATTATTTGTAGGAATAAAAAAATGATAACAGAAATATCAATATAAAAATGCAATAATGTAAAATTTTAAACTTTAAGTTATCAATAGCTTATTATTTCTTATCAAAATTAGCAACAAATAGAAAAAACAGAGCAAATTTTTAAAGACTATAATTTTGAAAAATGTAATGTTTAAATAAATTTTCTAATAATAAAAAAATAAAAATGGATATTGAATTACAGTATTGTGAAAAATACTTATCTAATTATCATAATTGCTTAATTCACCTTCAATGCATTTTTGAATGCATAACTTGGATTATCTTCTCGTCCATATTTTTTAGTAAAGAGAACCAGTTGTTCATATAGAAATATATAACGTTGTCTTGGTTTGAATCTTAGTTCTCTTATTTTTTCTTTTTTCTTCCTTTCCATCCAAACATTGAATGAACTTTGTAGAAGCAATTTTCCATAATCAGCAAGACTACCCTATATGATACAATATATCATCTAATTGATACATTTAATATTGTCTAGTGTAGCAAAACAGAAACTAAAAATTCTACATTGTTTAATAATACAAGGTGTCCCAAAAGTTACTGTTTAGTAATGTCTTTTTTTTTTCAGATACTTTCAAATTAAAAATTTTTTCATATATAAATGTTTTGGTGAAAGCCCAACTTAGCCTGTTCAGTCACCAAATCCAAGTCCCACAAAAGCAAACCAAAAATCCAAAGTTATTTGTGAAATTTTTATCTGTGGGGTGAACTGAAAAAAAACGTTTATAAAAAACAATCCACACTGTTGATGAACTAAAGGTAGCAATAAACACTCATATTCAGCAGATCTTATTGGCTATGCTATAGCTACTTTTCAACAATATGATAAAGCATGTCCAGACTTGTCTTCAGGCCCATGAGAAATTTTCAACATCTGCTTTAGAAAGAACATATGCCCAATAACTTTTGGGACACAGTGTAGAAAAGTTTTCATGTTTTTTACATTTATTTTAGAAATTAAATTTCTTAAATTACAATTTGTTTGTTTCCTCTCTAAGGGAACATCTACAAACCATGTAGCTCAATATTTTTCAAATTTTGGCCCCTCTTTGCCCTGGTGACTTTTTGTTTCAGTAATCTTAAAACAATGTATAGTCTCCTTCATTTAGCTTCTTGTTTGGATCTGCATCAAATTATTATTTCAGCAACTCAATAGTACTGTTTTTTCCAAAACTTATCATAACAACTTCTGTATGTTATAACTATTTTTTTTATTCTTTTTAAGTACCTTTAACACTTTAACAAAATGCATTTTGGACTCATATTGTCCCTCTTCAGTTGTTATACAGTTGTTACATATTAAACTGTACAAAACAAAGATACAAATAAATTCCCATTTTTAACAACAAAATTATTAATACAGTAGAGCATCGATTATCCGACTTAATTGGGGACTCAGGTTGGTCGGATAACTGAAAAATCGGATGACTGAAAAAATGAAAAATATACATTATTAGTATAGTATATTAGTATATCCCATGTAATTAGTATATTAGTATATCGCTATTAACCAACATCGCATTGAATTTTCATCAATGTTTAGCCTAACAATTTTTTTTTAAAATAATAATCGTCGCTATTGTATCATTAAAAATTATTTTATTGCTCACAAAACAAACAACCACTCATAATTAAAAAATTAAGTCCCGTTTAAATACTAGCCTCCCTTCAATGGTCGTGCCATTGATGCCAGCTAAAATATGCAAAAATTTAACAAAAATAATATTAAAGTAGCCAAGACATAGCCAAATATTATAGCACCACATCACTAGCAAACATTTGAAATTTGCCAACTAGAACGGTCGGTTAACTGATGTGACAGTTAATCAGGGGTTGGATAATCGATGCTCTACTGTATATAAACAATAACATAAACTTACATTTGGTGTACAAACCAAATTATTAAATACACATTTAGCTTTCAAATCATCAAATACATTATTGAAATCAACAAGACACATACCATAAGATAAGGACACATTTAATGTATAAATAAAACACAAAATGAAGAACTTTTACTTCACTTTTATAGAATACTTAAACATTATTGTAGGGGACTTTGTCCCGCTGCTGGCTAAAAATTGACACTAAGAGGACTATAATTGCATACCATCATTATTATTAATTTTTATTCCTTAATTTAATTTTCTTATTTCAAAATGTTCAAGAATTTTCCTTTTAAATTGTACAGTTTAATATGTAACAACTGTATAACAACTGAAGAGGGATGATATGAGTCCAAAATGCATTTTGCAAAAATAAAAAATAAAAAAAGGATTATTACATACAGCAGTTGTGATAAGTTTTGGAAAAAACAGCACTATTGGGTTGCTGAAATAATAATTTAATGTATAGTCTGAAAAAGCTGAACCTCCAAATACTTTTATTTTATCTTATTTTAATTTAAACACCAGGTTGGTTTTCCAAATGGTTTTTCCTATTTGGTGTTCTTTTAACTTTTACAATTTACATTATACTGTTGTAATTATTCACACCCCACTATATAAAACTATAGAATATGCATTTTTATGTTACTCTTATAACTATATTGTATATAATTCTGTATTAATTTTTTTTATAATAATGAATTAAATTACATAATTATAACTGTGCAATTACATAAACTCACTCTGCTGTTACATCACTGGTTCTTGATCAATATTGCTGATTTATTGCCCCTTCTGTTCAATGCTGCTTCTGTTAATAGTTTTCCTGATACTGTCCATGCTCATACATTATATCTATAATACACTTCTAACAATAGGCTACATTGAAACTTGAAACAATTTTTTAAGAGGCTAGGCTACATGACCAGATCCAGAACCCTCCTCCATTATAGTGGTCCATACTAGCTGCTGATTTACCCCTATCCTCTTCAATTAGACTATGCAGTTTGTGGACATTCTCTAAACTAGTGTTTCTCAACCTTTTTCTCATTTTGGACCAGTAAAATTATGGATAATTTTATATGGACCAGTAATTATATGTAATATGAATTAGGCTTATCAGTTTGTGGACATTCTCTAAACTAGTGTTTCTCAACCTTTTTCTCATTTTGGACCAGTAAAATTATGGATAATTTTATATGGACCAGTAATTATATGTAATATGAATTAGGCTTATCAGTTTGTGGACATTCTCTAAACTAGTGTTTCTCAACCTTTTTCTCATTTTGGACCAGTAAAATTATGGATAATTTTATATGGACCAGTAATTATATGTAATATGAATTAGGCTTATATATGCTTATTTAGAGTTACTGTATATAACAAAGTATGTATACTAACTCTATATTACTATCTCCCATAATTAACTGTGCTAATGTCAGTACTGTCAAATGTTTTTCTGCAGACAGGAAATTGAAAAACACTGCTCCAAACTAATATCATCATTGCAAAGATTATAAATAAATCACTAACATGAAATCCAGTAATAGCTATTTGGTGCATGCTATCATTAACATATTTCAAAACACCTAGCATGGCATCTACTGATTCTTGTAATTCATTTTGACCAGGTCCTTCTTCTGAATACTTCAAAAGATCCTTTAAATAAAATTATTTATATTAGATTGAAAAATAAAATATGTTAATATACAGTAGAGTATCATTTATCCAAATCAATTGGGGACTGGGGTTGTTCGGATAACTTATTTTTCGGATAACCGATTATGTACGAAAAAATATATTAACCTATCCCGTGTTGAAATTTTTCTCCGTTGTGTGCCGCTTTATGTTGAATTTTCGTCGATGTTAAGCCTAACGTAAACTTTTTAAAATAATAATCATGGCTATTGCATCGTTAAAAATTATTTCTTTATTTTTTACAAACAAAATAAATATATTGAAAAATATAAAAACAAAAAAATTATACTTTAAAAGTTCATCTAGTATCAAAAATGTTTGATTCAGCACCACGCACACTTTTCAGAAAAACACCACACAGAAGTGCCAATGCTGCCAGCCAAAGCACACACACCAACAAAATAATATTGGAGTAGCCCAAGATATAGCCAAAGATTGCAGTGCCACAGCCCTAGCAAAAATTTAAATTTGCCAACTGGAATTCTTTTGGATAACCAACGTTTCGGATAACCGACTTTTGGATAAACGACGCTCTACTGTACATGATAATATTTATATGTGCAGTACCTTTAATAATAATTGGTATTTTGTTATCCTTTGTACTGGTTTAAGCAAATAAGCTCCTAAAGGTAATTTATGACCCAGATTTTTTTGACATTCCTAACAAATATCATTTTAAAATATTTAGTAAATTATTCTTAGACTTCATATTTTTAATTTACATTCATATTAAATAATGTAATGTTAAATATGATTACTATTTTAATTTAATTTAAAAATTAAGACCTTAAAAAATGGATTATCATCACCACATTGTCTCCTGAGTGCTTCTGACTTAGGTTTATTTAAGCAGTATGTACTATAGAGTTTGTGAAAAGTCTCCCTCTAAAATAAAATTAAAATTTTCAAATTAATAATTATGTTATGTATTTTTTCGTTTTAAAATAGCTATTTAAATATTTAAATTATTCATTTTATTATATATTACTCTCAAATTTGGCTTTGTTATTATTAAGAACTAGAAGCTTACATATAGTAAATGCAATAAAAGATTGCACTTAGTCAATACCTACCAACTGTGCTTGTTTAGGGGAGATAGAGTGATGGGATGAGATAGTTCTGTGGTAATTTTGCTACATGTGCAAGTATTTAAGCTGTACAAATTTTATCAGTTGTAATACACCATTTTTTCCTTGAAAAGAGCATTTGTGTAAACAAAAGCAAACCCTTTGTAGCCTGGGAATAATTGGAAAAGCAGGAGAGTTCCAGAGAAGTAATCTATGAATTTAGTCAGTCAAACATACTATTACTTCAATGGAGACTGTTTTCTGAAGAGTCTTAGAAATTTCTATGAAATAACAAACACTTACATCAAAAAAGAAGGCTCACAAAATAATATGCAATGTGCATAGATTTATGGATGAAGAGAAAACTTTATAAAGGAATTAAACAATGTTGCAAAATGAGTCTTGGTGGTAACAGGAGCATCAAAAAGGACTGTTTACTTGAGTTTAAAAAGTTTAATAACCATGTTCCAATTTTATTTTAAAATTTAACATTTGAAATCAATATAAGGCATTCTAAGTTTGCAATTCCTTCTCAATTTAACCTAAAGCAGACCTCAAGTGAAATCAAAAATGTTCGTTTCACGAATTTTAAATGTTACTGGACATAAAGGTTTGTTAAGTGTGTTCATTGGCACCAGTAATTAAGTTAGAAGATATTGTTACATGTTTGATTTATCTGTTGTTCACAGGATGGGTCACAAAATGTATATGCACAAAAGATTTTTCCAAACTGTGCATAGCATTTTGCAAGCACTCATTATTATTATGTTGGGTTTAGTGGGTTATACTCGGTTGACACCGGTGGCTCTGTACTATGCCAGACCAGAGTCAAGGCATAGCAACCAAAACAAAACTAAAATTAAATAAGTGTGTCAGTGTCAGTGTCTGTATTCAGGAATTTCCTAACAATATGGCATGTATTCAATATAGTGGCCTTCTGTAGTGTGATGTATGTATTTCTATTCAATTGTAATGTTCCCAGGCTTTTGTGTAGTGTGTGTGGTATCACACCTGTACAGGAGAGAACGACAGGTACAATAAGCACCCTATCCATCCTCCACAGATGCCTTATTTCCTGGGCGAGTTCTGTGTACTTGCTAATTTTTTCAGTGCATGTGTTTTGTACATTGTGAGTGTTTGGAATGGCTATGTCTATAATGTATGTGATTTTATTGTGTTTGTCAATGAGTGTGATGTCTGGTCTGTTGTGGTAAATTGTTTTATCTGTGATTATGGCTCTGTCGTAGTACATTTCGTGCATGTAGTTTTCCAATACTGTCTGTGGAATATACTTGTAGTATGGTTCGTGAATGTCTACCAAGTTGTGTTTCTTTGCAAGCTCTTGGTGTATTATATTTGCTACTTGATTATGTCTGTGTAAATAATCTGTCTGTGCCAAGAGCTTGCACCCAGAAGTGATGTGTTGTATAGTTTCTGGCACAATGTGACATTTACTGCATGTGTCATTTGTGAGTGTTGTATCTTTGAGTATGTGTTTTCTGTAGTTTTTAGTATTTATGACCTGATCCTGTATGGCAATCATGAATCCTTCCATCTACCCAAAGAGGCGTCCTGGATCTAACCAGCTGTTTGATGCAGTTTTGTCAACAAAATTCTGGGCCAGGTCATAAGGATGCCTGCCATGGAATGCCTTTCGAACCCACAATTGCTTGATGGTGTCTATGATTTTTATATGTTGTGTCATGTCTGTATGATGAGAATGTAAGTTTAATGGTGTGTTATTTGAGTCTGCTAGAGTTACTGCTTTATGTAACTGTGATGTTTCTCATTTCTTGTAGAAAAACTCTCGCAGTGACTGTATTTGTTTGTAGTGAAGGTTAACTATGTCAATCAGGCCATGTCCGTCATCTTTATTGTCACATGCGAGTGTCCATTAGACACATGGCCTGACTGCCGATAGATGGCGCTGAGCCTGGTCTACGGCACGTGATAGCTCTCCTTTGTCTACAGTAGTTCTTGTTAGACCTCGTGCTAGAGTACACATAAGCTAAGTGTCTCTTTGTGATTCCTAATAAAGTTTACATAGTCCGAGTGGTTCGACTCTACTTCTTTAAGGTGTTCAACGTAACCTAATGTTACATGGTGTCAGAATAAAACATTTTTGTGCTGATCGATCTGTCCGCAAGTTCTACTGCCCAATATCGAATCATACGCTACCTTCTAATATGGATAGAGCACCACTAAAAGCCCCAGCAGAGTTAGTTGTGACCGATTGCAACATGTCTACCACGTGGAAACTGTGGAAACAGCGTTATGAATGGTTTGCGACGGCCACACAGCTATCGTCGAAACCGCCAAATGTCCAAGCAGAGGTCCTCATGGCGGTCATTGGACAAGATGCAATGGTCATCTTCAATACCTTTTTGCTCACGGAGGAAGAGAAAACGGATCCACTAGTAATCCTTCAAAAGTTTGATGCATATTTCGCTCCACAAGGAAATGAAACATACGCCTGCTGGTTGTTCAACAGGCACGTGCAGTCGGAAGGTGAGTCATTCGACAAATTCTTGACTAACCTTAGAACCAAAATTCGGGAATGTAATTTCGGTATACAAGAGGACAGCCTCTTAAGAGACAAAATAGTGCAGGGCATACGCTCCAATAAGATTAGAGAACAATTGCTCAGAGAACCTACTCTGACGCTGGATCATGCTATTCAGATCTGTAGAGCCAGCGAATCAGCATCCATTCAACTGAGGGAGATGCAACCGAGAATGGATTTGTGAACAGTGACGTGAATTCGCTAAAATTCTCGAAAACGATCTCAGCAACTCCGACAAATAATGCCGCAGAGCGTTTGTGTTGGAGATGCAGCATGTCGCATGAATATCAAAAGTGTCTAGCATTTAAGGTCCACTGCCGCCAGTGTTCAAAAAAGGGTCATTATGCTAGAAATTGTCCGTCTAGACGGCAAAAGTCGCAGCAGACATGTGAAGTGCAGCTCCCCAACAAGGCGGACAGAGAACGCGAGTATGACTGTTTGTCTGTGTTGGAGTTGCTCCAAGACCAACCCACATGTCCGAGTCTTTCCCAAACATGGCGTGTTCCTGTCAGATTTTCCGGTGGAATTTCCGCGGTGTTCAAGTTGGACACTGGAGCAGATGGCGACGTTGTCCCAGCTTCCTTAGTGCAACGCCTTAAGCTAAAAGTAATCCCTAGTGTCATACGTCACATTCGTTCCTTCAACCACACCTATACTCCTGTGCTAGGTGAATGTGTTGCTAGTTGTGTTGTGGAAGGTCGTAGTGCGAGAATAAAGTTTATTGTTGTGGAAGGCGAATATTCTCCCTTGCTAGGCAAAGATACCTGTGAAAAGCTCAATCTCGTCCACCGAGTAGAAATAGTTGAACCGGAAGTTGCAGTGCCAGATAATATATTTAGAGGTATTGGCTGTATCATAGATTTCGTGTACGACATAGAATTAATAGACAATCCAGTTCTTCACGTGCATCCACCACAAAATATTCCTTACACAATTCGTGCAGAAGTCAAGAAGGAGCTGGACAATATGGTCAAGCTAAAGGTGCTCAAACCAGTCACCCACCCGACACCGGCAGTGAGTCCATTAGTGGTCGTGCACAAAGAGGGCAGAATCCACTTGTGCATGGATCCGTCAGATATTAATAAAGCCATCAAAAGGCATCATTTTCCACTCAAAACAGTGGAAGACATAGCGGCGCGCATAACGAATGCACGCTACTTTACCCTGTTAGATGCCCGAAAGGGATTTTGGCAACTGCCCGTTACACCACGTACTGCTGACTTGCTAACAGTGAATACTCCATGGGGCCGCTACTCTTTTCAACGTGTGCCATTCGGCCTGGCTCGGCACCACAGATTTTTCAGCAGGTAATGCAGAACATCATAAAGAGCTGCCAAAATACGAAGTGTTCTATGGACGACATTTTGATCTGGGCAGACAATATACCAGACTTACGTAAATTCACCAACGAAGTACTATCCTGCCTGTACAAGCGGGGTGCCAGATTGAACCAAGAAAAATGTGCATTTGAGGAAACGTCAGTAAACTTTCTGGGTCATGTCTTCAGTGCTCAAGGTGTCCAGATCAACCCTGAAGAGGGTGAAGCTATCAACTGTTTGAAAGTCCCTACTAACATAACAGAGTTACAACGTTTTCTAGGAATGACTAATTATGTTTCTAAATTCATTCCAAACTATTCTTCGTTGACTGAACCCCTTCGTTCACTACTTCAAAAAGGCGTAACCTAGACCTAGGACCATCAGCAACAGAATGCTCTTAACAGCTTGAAAACAGCATTGAAAAAAGCCCCACTGCTGGCATTCTATGATGTCAACAAAGCCGTAATGCTATCAGTGGATGCTAGCTCATATGCTGTGGGAGCAGTGCTATTGCAGGAGGGACGCCCTATAGCTTATTCCACAAAAGCACTAACTGATGCTCAACAGAGATAGGAAGCATTCGCAATGCGGCACGGGTGTATAAAGTTCCATGACTACATCTATGGGAAGCAGTTAACGATTGAAACGGATCATAAGCCGTTAGAAAGCATTGCAAAAAAGTCCCTGAACACAGCACCACCTCGATTACAACGTCTGTTATTCGACGTTCTCCAATATACACCTACAGTGGTATACAAGCGTGGCAGAGACATCCCCGTGGCCGATGCTCTAAGCCGGAACTGTGCAACAGTAATTTCCTGTGATCCGCTAGATGATTTTATTGTTGCTGTGGATGTTCCACTGGCAGAATGTAAGGTAGCTGACTTAAGTCAAGCTATGGAGGTGGATACGAAACTACAGCAACTTATTACGATCATACAAGTGGGCTGGCCAGACTCGATTGATCAAATTCCAGTTGCCATCCGTGAATTTTGGACGTACAGAGACGAACTGTCAGTGTATGAAGGACTCATCTTTAAAGGAAAAAGACTCCTAGTGCCCTTAAAACTCCGTCTCGCTTATCTCCGGAAGTTGCACCTGGGCCACCCCGGGATTCAATTAATGCTCAATCGAGCTAGACAAATTATTTTTTTGGCCTGGGATGACCCACGATATAGAGAACATTACTGCAGCTTGTCACATTTGCCAGGCCATGGCTCGTGCTCCTGATCGGGAGTCTCTCCTCATGAAGCCCGTGCCACGGTATCCTTGGCAGCGACTTGCCAGTGATTTGTTTGAGGTGACAGGTGACATCTATGTGCTAGTGGCTGACAGTTACTCGGGTTTCTTTGAATACGAAAAACTAAAGAATCCCACCACATTAGCAGTTATAAACTTTTTAAAGCGTGTCTTTGCAGTGCATGGAATTCCGGACACCCTGGAATCTGACAATGGGCCTCAATACTCTTCACATCAGTTCCATCAATTCTGTTCACAATGGAAGATCAGTCACGTGACTGCCTCTCCCAAATACCCTCAGTCCAACGGGCTGGCTGAGAGGTACGTACAAACTGCCAAATCCATCATCAAAAGATGTCGTGCTGATGGAACAGATTAATCCCTAGCACTTCTAAATTGGTGGAATCTACCACGCAGTGGTCTCGGTTCTCCTGCTCAGCGTTTGTTTGGGAGGCAGACGGCAAAGTTATTCCCAATTCACCCGTCTGCAAGGTCAGTAGGTTTCAAAGATGTGTTTCCCAAACTACAATCCAATCGCACCTCGCAAGCATGACGTCGTCGGGCTGTTGAACGTCCTTCATTGCCCGAGAAGTCATCAGTGAGAATCAAAACTGCTCATAGGCAGTGGTCACCAGCAATAGTGGAAAAGCAACTTCCACAACCTCGTTCCTACTTAGTGCGTACAGCAGATGGTTCATTGCTACATCGTAATTCTTCGATGATAATGCCAACCAAGGCCCAGTTTCCACCTACTGTTACCCCAGCACTTCCTGCACAGGACTCTACTACACGACTACCCAAAAGTGATACTCAGCTGGCCGACAGTGAATCCAAGAACAACCAAGGCGTGGTTACGACAACTCGCTCCGGCAGAATTGTACGTCCTCCAAATAGACTAAATTTGTAAACGAATTTGTTCAATGTATTTGCAATCTAGCAAGGTCTAAAAAAAAAAGGGGGAAGATGTCACATGCGAATGTCTGTTAGACACATGGCCTGACTGCCGATAGATGGAGCTGAGCCTGGTCTACGGCACGTGGTAGCTCTCCTTTGTCTACAGTAGTTCTTGTTAGACCTTGTGCTAGAGTACACATTAGCTAAGTGTCTCTTTGTGATTCCTAATAAAGTTTACATAGTTCGAGTGGTTAGACTCTACTTCTTTAAGGTGTTCAATGTAACCTAACGTTACATTTATGTGGGTTAATCTTTTTGTAGCGGATTTAGGATGATGTTGTTTATGCTTAGTAAGTGTTGTTCTTGTTTTCCTTTGGAGTTGCTCAAGATCTGTGTGAGTCCAATATATAACTCCAAAAGAGTATGTGAGTACTGGGATGACATATGTGTTTATTGCTTTAACTGTGTGTTTTGCATTTAACTGTGCTCTGAGGAAAATTTAACCTACTATGATATTCTTTAATTATTCTTTGTTTTATTTGTGTATGTTCTGTTAGTTTGGCCTGTTGAAATCCTAAATACTTGTAGCCTCACCCTCTTCCATGGATTCAATAACTTCTTCATTTCCAAGTGCAAAATCTTCTTTCTTCAGGATTCCTTTTTCTATGTGAAGTGTTTTGCATTTGTCTAAGCCAAACTCCATTTGTATGTCCTTGGTGTATGAATGTGTAATTTGTAGGAGTTGATGAAGTTGTTTTTGTGTGGATGCATAAAGTTTTATGTCTTATGTCGTCCATGTACATTACTATTATTATTATTATTATCATCATCATCATCATCATCATCATCATCATCATCAATCAACATCATAATATTTGTTTTTATATTAATTTTAATTTTCACAAAAGACACAGCAAAAAACTTTGCCAGATCAACTAGCTAGTGCACATGTACAGTAAATAGAAACGTCATATAAAATAAAACAAGAGAGAATAGAGAGAAACCACATTCTATTGCCATATTGATTACATCTTGGCTAAGGCCAAGAAAATAAACTACATGCTGCTAAAATTTGCTAGGTTCACCTGGGGACTAAATAATAAAGCTTATAAAACTCTATATAATGGGGCAATACAACCAATGCTACTTTATGCGGTCTCTAGCTGTGGTCATGTAACAAGTAAAAATTCAGTAGCAAGTAAATTATTCTCTCTTCAAAACCAGTTTGCTATCAGAATTTCAAAGTGCTGCAGAACTGTTTTTACTAATGCCTCTCTGATACTAGCAGAGCTCCTTCCTTTGCCACTATGTATTGTAGACTACATCAGAACTACACTTTGCCACTATGTATTGTAGACTACATCTAAACTACTACATCAGAACTACAAACATCAAGGGTCAACAATGGTCTCTACTCCTATCTATGGCAGTTCATATGCTACCACATTGCAATTACCCTACTATCTCTGATCATCATCCTGTAAACAAGGTTATTTGGTGTCATCTGCTTCCTCCATGGATAATCATGCAGACATTAATATCTACACAGATGGGTCCAAAAGCTCCACTTCTTGTTGGCTCAAGTATCTGTATCTTCCTCCAAACTGACATATTTTGCCAAAAATATGTTAGAAGGTACAGATACCCAGTGGTGATATTCGAAATATTTAACAAAGGGTTCGCTAACAGAAAATTTTTCCTTAATTTTTTTCGCTCAAATGGTGCATTAACGACATTAGCGCAAAAACTGACCTTAAGATAACCATATAAATAAAAAAGATGCGTTCGCAAAATTAAGTCAGTTAAAATTTAACATTGTTTATGCCAGAACTATTTTTTTTTATAAATAATAAAAAAAAGTGTTCAAAACTATTTATTTTGTACATATTTTAATATTTTTCATTCAAAATATTTTATAAACATAAAAATTGGCTTTTTCTCAAGAAAAAACTTTTCTAAATCATTTATTTTATCATTAGGTATTATTATAATAATAGATAGATGTCATCATCTCTCGAAATACAATATCTTTTTTATTTCGCTGTCGATAGCCCGACACGTGTTCCGCAGCCATCTTGTATTTTCTCGCGCGCGTGGGATTGTGGGATCTCTCGTATGACGACCTAGTTTCAAGAACTCTTTTGAATCGATTGCGATTGAACCTCGTTTCAGACTTTCAGTCGAGATTGAAACGGTCGATGGAGGTTGCACCAAGGCGAACAGTATATAAGGCTCTAGTTTAGTAGTGTTACAGAGTTTAATATATTTTTTAAAAGAAACAAAACCACTGAGAAATGTTACGTGTGTTTAACAACGGGTTCGGCCGAACCTGTGCGAACCCGCTGAATATCACCACTGCAGATACCTCCCACATACCTCCATCTATCAAGCTGAAGAAGATGCTGACTACCAAGCTATTCAGTGGGCCACTTCACTACCAAACAAAACTCTGTCTATCAACATTTATAGTGATTTTCAGTCTGTCCTAAAAGCTCTATTAAATCCCAATTGCAATAGCAATAAAATCCCATATATCCAGCACCATATTAAAAATCTTGTAAATAAGATAACTTTTATATTTGTTCATGGCCATACTGGCATACTAGGAAATGAGAAAGCTGACTTTGAGGCTAAGTCAGCTGCAAAGGACTCTGATTTGGACTACACTCACATCCCTCTCTCATGTAGTAGCCTTAAAAATTATATTCATGACAATGCTGTGCAAAAGTGGAATCAGTAAAGTAGTTGAGCAGTAAAACTGGTAGAATAACAAGACTTTATTTTCTTAGTGTTGAATGTAGGTTCTCATCACTAAAGATTTAACTCTTGCTACTGCTCAACTACTTACTGAGAATGATAGTTTTAGAAGCTACCTGGCGATGTATAACCGGGCAGAAACTGCTTCTTGCTTTTTCTCTACAGGAAACCTAGACACCATCGACATATGATCTATCATTATCCAATTTATGATCAAGATAGACTTATTCTGAAATTAGAAATTTTTACGCTTGGTTTCAGGTAGCTATGTCCACTCGATAAGCTTGTTCAGAAACCTCTGTTTGATGCTTTTTACAATTATGTTCAAAAAAATATGGAAGAAAAGACTATTTATAATTTCTAATTTTACATTTTAGTTTTCACTAAATGCTGAATACTAATTTTATGTTTAGCTTGTATCATGTAGTTTGGTTTATGTATTCTTAGTGTTATACACCCATAGAGTGGTGCACTTATTCTAATAAAAAAAAACAAGAGAGAGAAACCACCACACAGCCTTTCTCCCATGACAAAAAATATGTAGAGCATGAATATGTTAGCATTATTATTCTATCACGTCACACGAGATGAGTGTTCTTAATTGAAGCCAAATTCAAAACGCCACCACTCAATGAGATCAAAAAATAAAAATAAGAATATTATGTAAAACAAGATCTATTACTCCCTACCCCTGAGTAAGAATTGTAAGAAATCCTTGACCCCCACCCACCCCAAAATACTTTACGTAATTTATGGATGGCCCCTATGTATTTTTTAGTATCATGTCGTCAGTTTTTTAAATTGTTAACCATTTGTCTCTAGTTGGAATATTAAAAAAGGATTTGAACTGACCCAAAATTATTGGTATGGTCAAAATTTGTTTTAATCAAGAAAGTTCCTTTTGGTGGGTCTTGCTGAAGCTAGGTTTAGGTAGAATAGACTAAATGGTAGAAAATTTCTGTGTGAAACTCTGCATATTGTTTCTCAGTGAAGAAATTGCAATTATTTGATAAAAATGAATGCAGAATCAGAGAATGCTTCATCCTGTTGTCTGGCTTGATGAAACATGGATTTTGATGAGTCATATGCAGTCAAAATCATAAATGGACATAGCTGTTGATGACCTTTTGGGTATTTCTGTCCCTGTGTCCAAAGAAAAAAGACTAATTGTCATTCATGCAGGCACAGAAGACAGATTTATACTGATTTGATTTTCACATCTAAACAAAACTTGAAGAATATCTTTACAAAATTTTCAATGTTGGTTTGTAGAACAGCTTCTTAAAAACCCAAATATGCCTAAAAATTAAATTATTGTGAAGGACAATGTTTGTTACCACTGTTCAAATCAAAAAGAAACCCATCAGCCAAAACAGGAAATCAGAGATCATCAAGTGGCTTTGAAGTCATGATGTAGAATGTGACAATGGCTTTCTGAAACTTGAACTTCTGAAAAAGTCAAATTGTGGCAAAAAGAAATTCATTATTGATGAACTGGCTAAACAGTGGGGACACACAGTGATAAGGACCACTCTGTGTCCCCACTTTACAGAACAAGGTGTCAAAACTTTATGGTAACAAGCTATTTTGCAAGTCATAACAAAAAATTGGAAAGATTGTGTCTGAAGCACAATGAAAATACACAAAAAATTTTAGGAAACAACAGCATTCTGGCTCAGATATTGGAGTTGTCGTCAGAAAGAAGGATACTTATCAATTTGGTTGATGACAGTTCCTCTGATAAAGATTCTGCAAATGACAATTCAGACTGAGATGAATATACCACTCCAATTCAAGACTAAGAAGTTCAAATTTTAAATCCTTCATATAGTTTTCTCTTCAACTCTATGTTATCATTCAAAGTCCTTTTTGGGACTACATGAGTGCTGCAAAGGATAGGTTCAATTAGTATTATTCCAACATTAAATAGACAGTTTAATTTTGTCATTGGTTATGATACATTCACCTACACTTGGAAACCAAGCTGACAACTTAAACTAAAGTTGTCAAACCTATCTCTTTTTCTCTCAAACTCTAACAAAATTATTGAAGAATACAAAAAACTTTTATCTTCACAAATCTGCCATTTCGCAATCACCACTGACAAACAAATAAACAATCTTCACTTACAGAAATGACCCTTTTATTTGAGGTGAATTAACTGTTGCTTAACTATTTAAACATAAAATCGGCCAAAATTGCCCAAGGAAAAGTTGTTTGGTTTTTCTATACAAGTTTCTCTTGCAGCCTGAGGGTAAAAACAATTTAGTCTGCAGGTACATAGAAAAAAGAAATTTTCAGAGCTAAAAATGTTAATAAACAAAGGAATAATTTTTTTCATAGATCATGCATAAGGAAATGAGATGAGAAAAGAGCAGATGGTAAAATGCTGCAGGTCAAAACCAGAGTTCAAGATGTTACGATTTTGAATGAAAATTTTACTGGTAAAATTCACTTCATAAAGTAATATTCAGGAAATTTGAGAAGTGTGGTAAAAATTTAATTAAATGGAAAACATACACTTTTATATTTTCTATTATATACAGTATGTTTATCTTGAAAAAAAGGACTGTGTAATTTGTGATGAAATGTAAAGTCAGTTTAGTCATGTAATTGTTTAATAATGTAGCAATATATTTAAACATGATTATAAAGAATTAAAAAAAAAATTGATCATTATTTAAGCTCATAAGTTATAGATTCAGGCTGTTTTTAATTAAGGCAAAAATTAGATAAAATATTAAACTGCATGCAAAATCCAAACATATCTATACACTAGTTCACTACTATACACTATTCAACAACTGGTTCTCCAGTCTAATCATCAATATAAAATCATTAAGAAGCAACAAATATTTTTGTTGTTCATCCATAAATCTATGCACTATTTTGTGATCCTAGCAATTTAAAGGTTTTCCTTTTTTGATGGAAGCACTTATTATTTTGGAAAAAATCCCAAAACTCTCCAGAAGCAAGTAATTGAAATAAAAATGAATATGACTGACTGTTAAATATGTAGATCACCTCTCCAGTCCTCCCCTACTTTTCCAATTATCCCTAGGCAACAAAAGGTTCACTTTTGTTACAGGCTATAAAGAGTCAGCTTAAGTACTCACACATGTAGCAAAATTACCACAAAACTATAACATCCCAGCATCATATCTTCCCTAAAATAATCATAGTTGGTATTGACTAAATGCAATCTTTCATTATGCCAACTATACATATTTCTGAATTTTAGAAAATTAAGATGTTATTAAAATATAATATAGGTTAATTTCAATAAAATTATTAAATATCAAAACTTTTTTAGCAACATATATAACTATGTTGTTATTCTACAAATGTATATGAAATAAAATTTTCTGTATTTTCAAATGCTATAAATCAACATTTGAACATTGTTCAAGTAAGGTTTTTAAATTTTAAAATATATTTGAAGCAACTTCAATTCTATTGTCAATTATAACATTAAAACAAAATTGTTTTAAGCGTTTTGTAAGATAAAATGATTTATGGAGTTATTTAAGTTGTTATTTGAAGTTAAGTTAGCCACTTATTATAAAAAAAAAAAAAAACTGAAATTTACAGAGAACTCATAAAAATATTTTGTAAAAGTTATCTTGTTTACCCTTTGAACAAAGCATCCTCCAACCAATTCAGGAGTGTTACTGTATTGTTGTAAATCTCGTAGGAAGACACTGTAAAAAAAAACAAATCAATATATTGAATGAGAATATTTACTACTTATAATAGTTATACTGTAATAGTAGCTTCTATAACATTTGAAATGGAAAATTTGAATAAAAGCATCTGTAGCTCTCTGTTGAAAATTTAATAGGTTTTGTTTTAGTTATTATAGTGCTATAAAAACAGTTTCGGCTACTTTTATATGAAATTGAAATATAATAAAATTTTAAAAAACTCAAAACTTTGACATTATTTTAAGTACTGTATTTATAATAAGCTTGTATTTTCATGTATATACAGTAACTCTTGATGGTATATAATAGAGATGCCATGAATAGTGATTTTGCCAAATACCAAATACTCGGCTACGCTCTCGGCTGAAGTGCTGAATATTCGGTGGCTGAATGTTCGGGAAAATATGTGTACATTTCACGGGGTGACAGGTTATGACCTGTCTCATTGCAATGGGTGCGGTAGCAACGCTGCAGGTGCATTTGTTTCATTTGAGAGTAGATCATGTCACGACACGCATTATTTGTTCATTGTTACATCACATTGTGTTACTAATAGTTCTTATTACTAAAAAATATCACTGTTTGTTCATCAAAAGCTTTACGAAATGGCACCATTTAACAAAAAATCGCCTATTTAAGAATATTATGGGATTTGTAGTGAACATAATAAACTGGCTGTGTGTTTGCTGTGTAACAACAAGATCTCGCATGGTGGAGAAGGAAAGAAAGCAAGCAAAATCTTATTACTTATTAATTAAGTGAAACAATTTTAGTCATATTTAGTATTTAGCACTTGTAATTTTTTATTTCTTGTTTTTTTTGCCTGGTACTTTTTTCACATGTAGTATTTCGTTGATAAACTTGATATAAATAAGTCCTATTTTTAAATATACATTTTATTTATTATCTTTGAAATTCAAAGGCTTAAGTAAAGCCAGAATAATACAAGTTTAAGTTAGTACTGTTCGGGAATTCCGTTCTTTGATGTTAGATTTTTCATCGTTAAAATATTGCATTCTTTTTTTTTTTTTTTTTTGTTTATAGCTACAACTTCTTTGAAAAACCACCTTAAAAGCAAACATGCTGAGCAATATGCTACATTAACTATTGCTCCCTCGGCAAGTGGCAGCAAAAATGATGGTACTCTTACTTCTACCAATTCCAAGATACCGGCAGTACCAGGTACGTCAGAAAAGAAACAGTTAACTCTGAAGGAAACAACTGAAAGGAAATTGTTATGGAAATTAATGATCCGAAATCAATAAAATATCATTATTTAATTGGTGAAGGCATACGGAAAAGGCAATACCTCAATACAAAATACCTGGTTGCACTTACATAACCGAGAAAATTATTCCTGATATATATAATAGAATTTGCTCTAAAATTGAAGCTAGTATTTCGCAAGCAATAGCAGTATCAGTGACATCTGATATGTAGACATGTCAGCACAATAACCAGTTTCTTGAGTTTCACTGCACATTGGATATCTCCAGAGTTTATTCTTGAACATGGCGTTTTAGCGATGAAGCCATTTGCTGGCTCACACACTGGTATCAATATCGCAAAAGAACTCAATGCTATTGCAGAAAGATGGAATATTCCTCATAGCAAGATCCCTTTACTTGTCCATGACAGTGGAGCCAATATGATAAAAGATGTACAAGATGCAGAATATAATTCTGCCAATTGTTTTATTCATTCACTGCAATGAGCTGTTGAGGAATCGCCAGTCTCAAACAGAAATAACACAGATGGTAGTTGCTGTGAGACGAATTGTTACCCATTTTAACCACTCTGGTATAACACAAGAAAAGCTGAAATGCATTTGCCAAGAACTTAACTTGCCAAACCACCAATCAGTACAAGATGTAAGCACACACTGGAATTCTACATATTATTTAATGGAGCAATTATTAGAACAAAAGAGAGCTGTTTCTTTGAACATAACTGATCACGAGTCTTTAAACAATATAACACCATATCAAACTCCTCAAACCGTTCAAAGAGATTACGAAACAATCAGCTCAGGTATTTCCTGCATCTCTGAAGTGATTCCACATGTTGTCACATTGTTGAAATACCTGGGGAAGGAAGAGACTGCAGATAGAACACCAAATTTATTGAGAATGAGGTCTTCGCTACAAGTTGAGCTTGAAACATGGTTCAACTTTGATGAGATGACAAATATCTGGTTGCCACTTTTCTCGACCCATGTTTCAAAACCAGTTTCCTGGGATTAGTTCAAATGCAAAGAGCAAAACAAAAAATTCTTTTAGAAGCTCTGAAAATTAGTTGTTATGAGTCTACTAGTACCAATGATGATTCTTCTCCACTTTGTAAGAAAAAAAATATCAATGAAAATGATAAAACCGTTGAAATACACAACAGTTTCTGGAACTGTTTTGAGGAAGTCCCTACAGAAAATGTGCAAAATGATGAGGATGTGAAGAAGAAAAGTGCTATTGCAAATGAGATTGATTTTTATATAAAAACTGTTCACCTAGATTGGATGGCAGACCTTTACAAGTAGTGGTCAGCAAACGCAAAACAGTATCCAAGCCTGACAGAATTCGCTAAGATTTATGATTTATCTATCGTCTCCTGGCAGTAATGTATATAGTGAGAAACTATTTTCAGAAGCAGTTTGAGGAAAAGCACAATCGTTTGCTATCAACAAATGCTGAAAAAACTATTTTCATTCATCACAACTTACCACTGATAGATTTTAAGTATTAAATGTAATAATTTATGATTAAAATAAATACATTTTTGAGTAAAATGTGCGTTTTTTTTTTTTTCATGATTTGATATTCGGTATTCGGCCGAACAGTACACAACATTCGGCTGAATACTGAATATTAAAAAAATAGTAGGCCAAATAGTAGCTAAATATTCATGGAATCACTAGTATATAACCTGTAGAAAACTGATAGAACAAAAATAAAACCTTTGCATAACTCACCCCCATGTATACCCTTCACATTTTCAAACTGCTTTTTAAACACAGATAACTTGCAGGTTAAATGCATGAAAATACTGTATATAGTTTAAGAAACCAAACATCTTTAATAAAATTTATTGAAATTGATCAACATTTACCAATTTTGTTTGGTTTACTATTCTAAAAATTAAAATGAATTAACTTTCAGATGATAAAACAATTTTAATATTTAGATTTTTAAAACTTTTATAAATTTACAAAGTGATTTAAAAAATATAATAAAATTTTAAAAAACTCAAAACTTTGACATTATTTTAAGTACTGTATTTATAATAAGCTTGTATTTTCATGTATATACAGTAACTCTTGATGGTATATAATAGAGATGCCATGAATAGTGATTTTGCCAAATACCAAATACTCGGCTACGCTCTCGGCTGAAGTGCTGAATATTCGGTGGCTGAATGTTCGGGAAAATATGTGTACATTTCACGGGGTGACAGGTTATGACCTGTCTCATTGCAATGGGTGCGGTAGCGACGCTGCAGGTGCATTTGTTTCATTTGAGAGTAGATCATGTCACGACACGCATTATTTGTTCATTGTTACATCACATTGTGTTACTAATAGTTCTTATTACTAAAAAATATCACTGTTTGTTCATCAAAAGCTTTACGAAATGGCACCATTTAACAAAAAATCGCCTATTTAAGAATATTATGGGATTTGTAGTGAACATAATAAACTGGCTGTGTGTTTGCTGTGTAACAACAAGATCTCGCATGGTGGAGAAGGAAAGAAAGCAAGCAAAATCTTATTACTTATTAATTAAGTGAAACAATTTTAGTCATATTTAGTATTTAGCACTTGTAATTTTTTATTTCTTGTTTTTTTTGCCTGGTACTTTTTTCACATGTAGTATTTCGTTGATAAACTTGATATAAATAAGTCCTATTTTTAAATATACATTTTATTTATTATCTTTGAAATTCAAAGGCTTAAGTAAAGCCAGAATAATACAAGTTTAAGTTAGTACTGTTCGGGAATTCCGTTCTTTGATGTTAGATTTTTCATCGTTAAAATATTGCATTCTTTTTTTTTTTTTTTTTTTTTTTTTTTTTTTTTTTTTTTTTTTTTTTTTTTTTTTTTTTTTTTTTTTTTTTTTTTTTTTTTTTTTTTTTTTTTTTTTTTTTTTTTTTTTTTTTTTTTTTTTTTTTTTTTTTTTTTTTTTTTTTTTTTTTTTTTTTTTTTTTTTTTTTTTTTTTTTTTTTTTTTTTTTTTTTTTTTTTTTTTTTTTTTTTTTTTTTTTTTTTTTTTTTTTTTTTTTTTTTTTTTTTTTTTTTTTTTTTTTTTTTTTTTTTTTTTTTTTTTTTTTTTTTTTTTTTTTTTTTTTTTTTTTTTTTTTTTTTTTTTTTTTTTTTTTTTTTTTTTTTTTTTTTTTTTTTTTTTTTTTTTTTTTTTTTTTTTTTTTTTTTTTTTTTTTTTTTTTTTTTTTTTTTTTTTTTTTTTTTTTTTTTTTTTTTTTTTTTTTTTTTTTTTTTTTTTTTTTTTTTTTTTTTTTTTTTTTTTTTTTTTTTTTTTTTTTTTTTTTTTTTTTTTTTTTTTTTTTTTTTTTTTTTTTTTTTTTTTTTTTTTTTTTTTTTTTTTTTTTTTTTTTTTTTTTTTTTTTTTTTTTTTTTTTTTTTTTTTTTTTTTTTTTTTTTTTTTTTTTTTTTTTTTTTTTTTTTTTTTTTTTTTTTTTTTTTTTTTTTTTTTTTTTTTTTTTTTTTTTTTTTTTTTTTTTTTTTTTTTTTTTTTTTTTTTTTTTTTTTTTTTTTTTTTTTTTTTTTTTTTTTTTTTTTTTTTTTTTTTTTTTTTTTTTTTTTTTTTTTTTTTTTTTTTTTTTTTTTTTTTTTTTTTTTTTTTTTTTTTTTTTTTTTTTTTTTTTTTTTTTTTTTTTTTTTTTTTTTTTTTTTTTTTTTTTTTTTTTTTTTTTTTTTTTTTTTTTTTTTTTTTTTTTTTTTTTTTTTTTTTTTTTTTTTTTTTTTTTTTTTTTTTTTTTTTTTTTTTTTTTTTTTTTTTTTTTTTTTTTTTTTTTTTTTTTTTTTTTTTTTTTTTTTTTTTTTTTTTTTTTTTTTTTTTTTTTTTTTTTTTTTTTTTTTTTTTTTTTTTTTTTTTTTTTTTTTTTTTTTTTTTTTTTTTTTTTTTTTTTTTTTTTTTTTTTTTTTTTTTTTTTTTTTTTTTTTTTTTTTTTTTTTTTTTTTTTTTTTTTTTTTTTTTTTTTTTTTTTTTTTTTTTTTTTTTTTTTTTTTTTTTTTTTTTTTTTTTTTTTTTTTTTTTTTTTTTTTTTTTTTTTTTTTTTTTTTTTTTTTTTTTTTTTTTTTTTTTTTTTTTTTTTTTTTTTTTTTTTTTTTTTTTTTTTTTTTTTTTTTTTTTTTTTTTTTTTTTTTTTTTTTTTTTTTTTTTTTTTTTTTTTTTTTTTTTTTTTTTTTTTTTTTTTTTTTTTTTTTTTTTTTTTTTTTTTTTTTTTTTTTTTTTTTTTTTTTTTTTTTTTTTTTTTTTTTTTTTTTTTTTTTTTTTTTTTTTTTTTTTTTTTTTTTTTTTTTTTTTTTTTTTTTTTTTTTTTTTTTTTNAACAAAATAAATATATTAAAAAATATAAAAACAATAAAAAATTATACTTCAGAAGTTAATTTAGTATCAAAAACGTAAAATATTTGAGTAGCCGAAGACATAGCCAAAGATTACAGCGCCACAGCACTGGTGAAAATTTAAATTTGTCGACTGGAATTCCTTCGCATAACCGACCTTCGGATAAATGACACTCTACTGTAGTAGTTTACTGTAATAGTAGTACAGTACACAAATATATATACATTTGTGTTTGCATGCATGACTATGGTCCTAGAGGTGCATCTAAAATGCATCACAGGTGCCACATTGCTAACCCATTTTATATCATGACATTGAATATGTCAGTCATACATTTATCATCTGTGTTGCCCATAGTGTAATTTATATTTTTATATTATTACACAATGGGCTGCCCCTAGCTTTTGTGGAGCCCAGGGCAAATCTGAAATTGCAGAGTCCTTTCTAAAAATAAACTAAGTATTAGTAAAAAAAAAAAATTAATAAGTAAAATAATTAACATTAACTTTCAAAGATTTATTTAAACAAAATTGCAAGAATAAAGTGTAAAAAAAATATTTTTTAAGATTGTACAAAGTATGTTTGTTTTTATTTATTTTATTTTTATCTTAATTTTTTAAATGAATCTTTCGCAGTATTTTAGGAAATATCAATTTTGCGGGCTTTTATTTCAGCAAAATCTTTTATTAAATCATTGCAATTTAATTTTTCACATATTTTGTCCTCAATAGATAAAAGTGTCAGATTTGTTAATCATTCTTGTGACATTGTTGTCTGTAAATAATTTTTAATTAGTTTTAATTTAGAAAAACTTCATTCTGCTGATGCTGTTGAAATCAGAATTGTTAATAATATTCTTAAACTAATGGCCAGATTTGGAAGAGTCGTGCATATTTCTCAAGGAATCTGTTTCACTTTTTACACTAGAATCCTCTGTCACGTCATTTAATTCTTCTAATGCTGTTATAATTTTGTCTAAATCAAATCTAACTGTCTTCACAGAATTTATTCAGCATTTCCAACTTGTATCTGTTTTAGAGTTGAATTTGTTAAATGTTTCATTAAAATAGCCCACCTATGAGCAGATGAGGAAAATAGTGTATACAGTCTTGAGTGTTCCAAAAAATGACACAGCCATAGAAACCAAGGAAGCCATATCACCTATTAATAAATTTAAATTGGGCACAGAACATGGCACAAAAAATGCTGTTGGATTTTTTTCCAAAATCCTTGCTTGCACGCCTTTTCTCTTGCTTACCATATTAGCCCCATTGTCATAAGCTTATCCACAGCAATCGTTCAAAGAAATATTTAAAGTTTTAAGTTGTTACATAATTCCTCTGATAAATCAAACCCTGCACTTTTTGGCATAGGAGAAAAACCAATAAAATAATTATTAATTTCAACTTCATTTTGTTCTTGTTCGTCAGGCATTTCTACAATTCGAACAATGAGAATCAATTGTTCAATACGACTTTTATCAGTAGTACAGTCTAACTGTACTGCATAATATTTACTTTTTTTTTATTATTTCATTTTTAACTTTGTTTGCCAACAGATTAATTATCTCATTTTGAATTTTCCAACCTAAATAATGATTGTTTGTTTCTTTATCTTTGATACGTCTTATAGCCTATGTTCTGCTGTTCTTGCATCAAATGTTGAAATTAATTCTATTTAGTACCATTAAGCAGCATAAATTTGTTCAATTGAAACATTTATAAGCTTACAATATGCTCAAGTGCATAAATGTTCTATGCAATGCTAACTACAACTACACTGACTTGGCGCCTAGTTTTGTTGTAGGTTAGATACAGCCAACTTACAATTTATATTATAAAAACTATTTTTTTCTTTATTATTATTTTGATTATTTTTTAAGGTAATCATTCTTTTATAAAAAAAAAAACTACTAATAGAACACTAACAAACACAAATATATTTGAATTTATACATTAAACAGTTATTCTTTTTGTAGATCATAAAATCAATTAGTAGCAAAGTTGTATCAAGAAATCAAGATTCATGATTTTTCCAGTATACCTTATGATTATACTTTAAAATTTTAAAATTAAGTTTTACATTGAAATACAAGTTGTTACATTTTAATTATAAAACATTATTATGCTGTAGCCTCTTAAGCACAGGGCCCGGGGTGGTTGCTCCAGTTGCCTGGCCTTAGGGGCGTCTCTGATTACACACATTTATATTGTAAAATATTAATATTTATATTACCATAATTATAAAATAATGATATTCATTTTTTCATTAATAATCATTTATAAAGTAAAAGTAATCTCTATTAAACAATTTCAGAAGCATCATTTGTCATTTTATGAAAAACTTACTCTTTATGAAATTGGCAAAGATCTTCTATGTTTCCAAAAAGAACTTCAGTTTTACCATAAAAAGCGGATGGAACGAGATCTCTCATTGCTGGGCTATCCATTTGATATTTGTATCCCTAATTTAATCAGAAAAGATATAATATTTATTGTTTTTGTAAATATAATAATTTATATCAAAAATTATAAAATTGACTACCTGAATAATGCTGGTAAGTTCTGAAACATACGCTTTTTCTGTTTCAATCAGTTCTGTCATTACATGACTAAAAATTATATTTTTAATTATTAAATATTTTTTAGATCATATCATATATATATATATATCATATCTTATTTTCATATTTATGTTGTAATTTTTCTTAATTGCTATTAAAATATTTTAATCATATTAAAGTGAAAAACAAAAGTTAACAGTAGTATAACCTATGCATATTAATGCAGTAATGTTCTTAATTATGCTTGAACTTAACATACATTGTTTTACCTACAATAGTGCTTAGACATAATGTACTGGGAAAATACATTGCTTTTCAGTCAAAAACATGTTTCCGACTGTGGGGTTATTTGAAAGCTTGTGTGTATCAGGGGCACATGCCCTCCGTGTCAGAGCTGTAGGTCACATAGTGCATCATGTCTCTTAGATTCCTCCTGAAATGTCATGTGCAGCAGTTGATAATGCAGTTTTATGATTACAGCATGAGGTCAACAGAGAAGGATACTATATTCAGCACATACTGTAAATATGTAAAATGTAATTTTATTCTTCTAATAAAATTTTGTTTAATAGTCTTATAATTGTCATCCTTGCAATGCCACATTTTCATCTGGTGGTGAAAATTTCAAGTAATTTTTTACCCTTGTAAATCTCTTCTCCACAATCTGCATTGCTTGTATACAGAGTTTCATTCAATTCATGCAGAGCCTGCTTCACATGTATCTTAGTAGTACTGTCAGTTTAATTCTAACCACCCTGCATTTCTAAGATGATGGTCCATTCCTGATTGGCATAATTCTGAGCTTGATCATTGTCATGATTATTAAAGCTATAAAACTGCATATGTTTTAAACATGAAATTAACATTAATTTATTAGTCATTATTATATCACAAATACATATATAATAAAGTAATTTTAAATCAAGTTGTAAAAGTTCAGCCTTACATCTAGAAGTTAGAAATTTTTCAATTTTCATTTCCATCATTCATAATGAATACAGTGTTACAAGATAATTTAATCAGGTAAATTAATTAATGCAGTTAATAATATATAGCACCTTTAAATAATAGCACATTGATTAATTCAGCTAAGTAACCACAGTGGTTAGTTTATCCTTTTTGAGGTTTCCTCATGTAATCTTTATAATCATAAAGTTTGATATTATTTAATAACTTTATTTTTCATTTGAAAGTTGTAGATTCAGAATATGATGACAAAAATTATTTAAATTTAACTGTCATAGTGTTATCTTTTAAAATTTGGCTAATCAAATTATATTCTTTGCTGAATTACGATTACTGGTGTTATATCACCTCTTTCTCAGCAAATATAACTAATTATAACAACACACATGAATTTTTTGCCAAGCATAAATTATTTTATTCTCAGACTGGTGGTGGAAAAATGTAACGCACCAACATATATACTAAAGAAGCACTTAAAAAAGTACATTTATGAAAAGCTAGAACAAAACAATTATGTGGCTCATGATCCAAATAAGGTGGTAAAAGAATTGCAAGACTTAAGTTTAATAAATAATGAAATAGGGACTGCGTTGGATTTTGAAAGTCTATACCATCAATGAATCTAGCACCTTGTTTTAATGCACTCATTGAATTTATGGTCCAACACAATCCAATGTTATCAACACACTCGGAGGAATTAAATAATCTAGCAGACTTGATGTGCTACCAATCCTTCTTTAAATTCAACGGAGTGACATGCAAACAAAAGAAAGGTGTCCTGATGGAAAGTCCCATGTCAGGACTCCTTTGTGAACTAGTAATATGTAAACTGGAAAAAGACATCCTCAAAGATTTCTTAGAGGACATTATATTCTACAAACGTTATGTCGTTTATAATTTGGAAAGATAACTGATGAATTGAAGATTTTTTACTTGCAATCAATAAAAATGGCCATGGGTTAAAACTAAAATTAGAAAAAAGAAATTATACTCATCTCCATTTTTTAACATTGATATAAAATTTAAACAAGGAAATGTACAAACAGCGGTGTATTTAAAACCCATGCATGCTCCCCTATATATACCATCGTGGTCCAACGATCCATATAAATACAAGTTATCAGCATTTAAGGCGCTTATTAGAAGAGTGTTTTTATACTGCACTAACATTCAGGACCGTATTAAGGAGATTAGTAGAATTAAAAGAATTGCAACAAATCTAGGATACAAAACCGCCACAATAGAAGGCCTGGTCAAAGGTTAGACAACATAAAGGCAAAAAACATATTAAAGTAGATGCAATTAACAAATTCACATACAATAAATGTATAGGAGGTGTGATGAATGAATTGAGTACTTATAAAAATGCAAGAATGGTATATAAAGGAGCACCCAACATCTATAGCTTAATAAGGAATGATAAAGACAGTGTAAAAATTCAAGAGAAGCCGGAGTCTATAAAATGCCATTTGAGAATCCAGAATTAGGAATAGCAAAGGATTATGTGGGCATAACCAGGAGAAATTTAGCAATACATCTGCAAGAACACAAATACAACGTTAATAAAAGGCACAACACCATTTTAGCAGTCATGGTGCAGACAGGAGCGAATGTAAAATGGAATGAGGCAAAAATCATTAAAACAGTCCAATCTCCATTCATTGCATTAGAAATGGAAAAAATGGAAATATATAAAAGTAAAATGAAAAACTGTTGCCTAAATGCCAAGGATGCTAATACACTTCCAACATTGCATGGAAGTACAGGATAGAAAAAAGCATGGGGATTAAAAACCCTTAAAGCTAGTAGTTGTTATACTTAGCCTTGTTATTGTGTTACAGTATTTATTTATGCTATTTAATTTATTTTATTTACTGTTATTTATTTATTGTATTGATTTATTTTTTCATTTATTTAATATACACAATTATTGTAAAAATCTTTTAAATTTAAAATGAAACATATTTGAAAAATGTTGAGTTCCACTTTGGAACGGTAATCGTAAGCCTGAAGATGGCTTATAATAAGTAGGTTGAAAATGTTTGAGAATAAAATAATTTATGCTTCGCAAAAAATTCAGGTGTGTTGTTATAATTAATTACTAGTGTTATATTTGTTCAATATAATCAAACTACATTGATTAACTAAAACAAAGAAATATCTACAGTTCAGTTGAAGAAATTGGCTTTCTTCAAGCAAAATTTTGAAATAATTAATTAATTTAATAAAGTTTAATTTAGTTAGCAAAATTAATTAAACATATATAATTCTTACTTGTTAGTTATAAAAAATTGCAATTTTGGCTACCTCTAGTGTCAAATATAAATGACATAAAAAAAACCTAATAGTTATTATTATAATTTACAATTGTAAAACTCATCACTCTGTACTTATCTTGCAGAAGTTTTGGCAGATTCTTTCCTTTCCCCACTATTGAGATTACCATTTACTCAAGTTACTTTATGACTTGTTTTCAGATTGGCAAATCAGTTCATCCCATATTATATCACCTACATCACAGCCAAATTTATTATCTAATCTTTTATGATTCTTGATCTTAATTGTTTTCACCTTTCTACTATATTTGAAAAACAGATCTACAGTATATTCTTTTCATTTCTCAAGAAAAATGTCTGGTTATTCAACTTATTCAATATGGATAACAAGCACTATATTGAAGCAGTTTTACAAAAATGTAAGAAATATTTTGTATTAAAAAAAATCTATTTGTAAATATTAAGTTTTTATCCTAGAAATAAGGACAAGAGTTTTTTCATATTTAATAAATATTAACTTACAATGTGAATTTGACAACTTATTGAATGGTTTAGTGAGATATTAAACTGCATATAATTATAATATGTTATGTAGTTTTATCAGATATGTATGACAGAAGAGGACAAATTGCCTGGATTGCATTTCTTTATATAACAGTCTATATAACTAATCAAGTGTTTCTGTAGGTAAGTTCTCCATAGCAATTCTGTGCTTATTTCCACACACCTCAATAGAGAACAAGAAGCAATCGCATAATAATTACATGCATTCTGCTCATTCATATTTGAGAGCAGTAGTTATTGCCAATATATATGTTATTAGAGGTTAAACCCATTATCTTTGAATAACAGTGTAATTACTTACATGCTCACTATTTGTTATTCAATTACTTGTAAGGATCCTAACAGGTATAGAATAAATAGTAACAAATTGTTGATGATGTTTGATTACTACTCATTTTCAGGTGGAACCTTCACCCAAAAAGACCTTCCTCCTAAAAGAAATGACTGGCCAGCCAGTACGTGAGAAGGTAATCAGGCTTGTGGGTTGTATTGTTAAGGAAAGTTTTTTAGAAACATTTTAATCGATCATATTTTAATGAAAATTTTTATTTTACTCATGTATTTTAATATTTTAAGAGAATCTTTCACTTTATTTGAAAGAAAACTCAGAAGGGACAAATTCTATATCAAAGATAACCCCAAAACATCTATTTTGTAACAATTTGGAAAGTGTGTATATAACTGGTTTACAATTGATAATTTATGTAAATTTAATCAAAACAACTAAAAAAGCTATTTAATTTGAATATAATTTGAATATATATATATAAACATCAACTCACAGCCCGAGTAGATAATAACAACACCAAACGATCGCCTAATTATCGGGCTATAATACTAATTATAAAACTGGCAAGCGCACCACACGGCAAGCGGAGGTTGCGGGTTCAAGCCCCGTCCCGGGCCAGTTCTTTTATTCCAGAATGTTCTAAATTTATTTATTTAATTATTAATTTAATTAAGAGATGGCGCCTAACGCCTACCTCTAATGTCAAATTACTTAGTTCCAATCATTTAAAATAGCCATATTATAGCCCGATAATTAGGCGATCGTTTGGTGTTGTTATTATAATTTGAATAGTTTAAAAAACAAACATGGATAATAAAATATAGTATACAAATGTAAAATTAACATCAATTTTTAACTTCTAACAAATTAAAAATTTCAACAATTATTTTAAAAAGTTCAGATATAGTTTTCAGATTGAAAAAATTATAAATTTTACATATACAGGACGAGAACAAATCTCTAACAACTTATCTATTCCTATATACAATTCCTAGATATGTTAGGAAAGTAAAATGCAAGTTTAACACACTAATTAATAAATACAGTATGTTAATATTTATTGCTTTAAATTCAAATTAGTTAATAAACAACAACTTCAAATTATTTTATTACAATAATGTAACTTTTAAATTTACAAATTACAATAATGTAAATTTTATTCTCTCTTGAAATACTTTTTTAGCAGCCAATTTAGTCATTTTGACAGATGATTACTTTGTATGCAAGCAATATCACACACACAGTGAATTCAGTTAACATCAAAATATATAGTATATCAAACATAAAATCAGTTTTAAAATTATCAATCTGTGATTTTATATTTGCTAATAAAATGAATTATAATAATTAAATTCTATTGTATCCTAGGTAAATATAATATTTTGTGTAATAAATTTCAAAATCAAACACTCAAGTTTCATTAATACTAACATTATAATTGAATGATTCATATAACTTTATAACTTAACATTAAAAAAATTAGGATATTAATTTTATATCCCAATTTCAATGAAACTACATTATTATTCTTAAATATCTTTTGCAAAAATATAAATGCATCATACANTAGCATTCCGTCATGGGTGCAGCGTTTATCTTATGGAGGGCTTATTAAACCTACTGATGAATGGCTAGCAAAAATTATAGAATGGAATAAATATTTCGAAATATATCACGATGAATCGTATAAAAAAGGCCCCGGAGTTGTACAGAATTAGTCAGTGGAAACAGTTTTACCTTTTACTTTAATAAAAGATTTTTGTAAATTAAGAACTATAATAAGAATTAATTATAGAAATCTTAAACAAGAAAACTATAAAATATTGAAAAGAATGCCTTCTGAAAATGGTGATTGTCGAAAAAAAATTAAAAAGTTAAGTAAGATAATCACATATTAAAAAGTATAGCTCATTAATTTGTTAAATAAATATTACACAAAAGACTTGTAAATTTATTGACGTACAGTACACTTATTAAATCCGAAAATTCTACAGTAGTTTACATTTAGTAGTAATTTAATAATTAATTAAGAAATGATTTAATATTTTATCGTATTTTGTTATTTGAAAGGTCTGTCATGTTGAAGTAGAGGACTTGCTGTGACGTCACATAGATGCAAGGTCATGCTAACAAATATACGGGATCTGGCTATCCTTGTAGTTTAAAGTCCTTGGGGTGGACCACAAAAATTCAGCAATTTACAACATGATGTCGAATGCACAAATTCGTTTATTTATAATTAAAAATATTCTCGAAATTTCATTAAAAAAATACCTAAATGAAATTCTTATGCGAGAAACAAAAATTGTACAATTAACACAATTTGTTTTCGCAAAATTAATTTTGAAAATTTTTGTCGCTGTTGCGAATAACTCCACCGACCATCTTCCCAACTCTGACCAAGAGGAATTAATAGACATTTCATGCAACAGCAGACTCAAGAGTTGTTTTGCAGAGCAATCGCTGGGTAATTTTTGGGCTGACCTAAAAGACATTTATCATGTCAGTGAAGCGGCAATAAAATATTTACTNACTCCACCGACCATCTTCCCAACTCTGACCAAGAGGAATTAATAGACATTTCATGCAACAGCAGACTCAAGAGTTGTTTTGCAGAGCAATCGCTGGGTAATTTTTGGGCTGACCTAAAAGACATTTATCATGTCAGTGAAGCGGCAATAAAATATTTACTACCATTTTGCACAACATACCTCTGCGAGAGCAGATTTTCGGCCATGACAAATATGAAAACTAAACATCGTCACCGACTTCGACTTGAAGATGACTTCAGTGGCGTACCGTAGTGGGGCGGCACTTTTTAGGGGGCGGCAAAATTTCACAATAAATAATAATAATATCTTGTAAAAATTTGAAACATCCTAATCTATACTTGCATCGCGCCTACGATAGTGCTATCGTCCGGACAGTCCGGGAATCGGCTCGCCGGGTGAACTAGTAACTTTTTCGTCCGANATTTGAAAAATGTTGAGTTCCACTTTGGAACGGTAATCGTAAGCCTGAAGATGGCTTATAATAAGTAGGTTGAAAATGTTTGAGAATAAAATAATTTATGCTTCGCAAAAAATTCAGGTGTGTTGTTATAATTAATTACTAGTGTTATATTTGTTCAATATAATCAAACTACATTGATTAACTAAAACAAAGAAATATCTACAGTTCAGTTGAAGAAATTGGCTTTCTTCAAGCAAAATTTTGAAATAATTAATTAATTTAATAAAGTTTAATTTAGTTAGCAAAATTAATTAAACATATATAATTCTTACTTGTTAGTTATAAAAAATTGCAATTTTGGCTACCTCTAGTGTCAAATATAAATGACATAAAAAAAACCTAATAGTTATTATTATAATTTACAATTGTAAAACTCATCACTCTGTACTTATCTTGCAGAAGTTTTGGCAGATTCTTTCCTTTCCCCACTATTGAGATTACCATTTACTCAAGTTACTTTATGACTTGTTTTCAGATTGGCAAATCAGTTCATCCCATATTATATCACCTACATCACAGCCAAATTTATTATCTAATCTTTTATGATTCTTGATCTTAATTGTTTTCACCTTTCTACTATATTTGAAAAACAGATCTACAGTATATTCTTTTCATTTCTCAAGAAAAATGTCTGGTTATTCAACTTATTCAATATGGATAACAAGCACTATATTGAAGCAGTTTTACAAAAATGTAAGAAATATTTTGTATTAAAAAAAATCTATTTGTAAATATTAAGTTTTTATCCTAGAAATAAGGACAAGAGTTTTTTCATATTTAATAAATATTAACTTACAATGTGAATTTGACAACTTATTGAATGGTTTAGTGAGATATTAAACTGCATATAATTATAATATGTTATGTAGTTTTATCAGATATGTATGACAGAAGAGGACAAATTGCCTGGATTGCATTTCTTTATATAACAGTCTATATAACTAATCAAGTGTTTCTGTAGGTAAGTTCTCCATAGCAATTCTGTGCTTATTTCCACACACCTCAATAGAGAACAAGAAGCAATCGCATAATAATTACATGCATTCTGCTCATTCATATTTGAGAGCAGTAGTTATTGCCAATATATATGTTATTAGAGGTTAAACCCATTATCTTTGAATAACAGTGTAATTACTTACATGCTCACTATTTGTTATTCAATTACTTGTAAGGATCCTAACAGGTATAGAATAAATAGTAACAAATTGTTGATGATGTTTGATTACTACTCATTTTCAGGTGGAACCTTCACCCAAAAAGACCTTCCTCCTAAAAGAAATGACTGGCCAGCCAGTACGTGAGAAGGTAATCAGGCTTGTGGGTTGTATTGTTAAGGAAAGTTTTTTAGAAACATTTTAATCGATCATATTTTAATGAAAATTTTTATTTTACTCATGTATTTTAATATTTTAAGAGAATCTTTCACTTTATTTGAAAGAAAACTCAGAAGGGACAAATTCTATATCAAAGATAACCCCAAAACATCTATTTTGTAACAATTTGGAAAGTGTGTATATAACTGGTTTACAATTGATAATTTATGTAAATTTAATCAAAACAACTAAAAAAGCTATTTAATTTGAATATAATTTGAATATATATATATAAACATCAACTCACAGCCCGAGTAGATAATAACAACACCAAACGATCGCCTAATTATCGGGCTATAATACTAATTATAAAACTGGCAAGCGCACCACACGGCAAGCGGAGGTTGCGGGTTCAAGCCCCGTCCCGGGCCAGTTCTTTTATTCCAGAATGTTCTAAATTTATTTATTTAATTATTAATTTAATTAAGAGATGGCGCCTAACGCCTACCTCTAATGTCAAATTACTTAGTTCCAATCATTTAAAATAGCCATATTATAGCCCGATAATTAGGCGATCGTTTGGTGTTGTTATTATAATTTGAATAGTTTAAAAAACAAACATGGATAATAAAATATAGTATACAAATGTAAAATTAACATCAATTTTTAACTTCTAACAAATTAAAAATTTCAACAATTATTTTAAAAAGTTCAGATATAATTTTCAGATTGAAAAAATTAGAAATTTTACATATACAGGACGAGAACAAATCTCTAACAACTTATCTATTCCTATATACAATTCCTAGATATGTTAGGAAAGTAAAATGCAAGTTTAACACACTAATTAATAAATACAGTATGTTAATATTTATTGCTTTAAATTCAAATTAGTTAATAAACAACAACTTCAAATTATTTTATTACAATAATGTAACTTAATTTTATTCTCTCTTGAAATACTTTTTTAGCAGCCAATTTAGTCATTTTGACAGATGATTACTTTGTATGCAAGCAATATCACACACACAGTGAATTCAGTTAACATCAAAATATATAGTATATCAAACATAAAATCAGTTTTAAAATTATCAATCTGTGATTTTATATTTGCTAATAAAATGAATTATAATAATTAAATTCTATTGTATCCTAGGTAAATATAATATTTTGTGTAATAAATTTCAAAATCAAACACTCAAGTTTCATTAATACTAACATTATAATTGAATGATTCATATAACTTTATAACTTAACATTAAAAAAATTAGGATATTAATTTTATATCCCAATTTCAATGAAACTACATTATTATTCTTAAATATCTTTTGCAAAAATATAAATGCATCATACATATAAATTATTTCAAGATTGTTAGGAAAACAACTATATACATGTCCAAAGCATTAACATAAACAAAACTAAATCACACCATTATTATAAGCAATGATCAGGATAGTAATCACATTATATAAGTTTCCTAGTTCAAATAATAATTCTCATTATTCTAACACTTAAAAAAATCTTAATTTTGTTATATTTAAAATTGTTATTTTGAAAAACTACATAATTATCATACACAAAGTTTTTAATAGTAATTCACATTATTTGCTGTAAACCCAATTTTTACTTTTAATTAATAACTTTTTAAACATTTTAATAACTTTTGGCTTCACATGTAATTTTTTTATATGAAATAAATGCAACTATATAATTTCTTATTTGCATTCATTAAAATTCATTTATTAAATCAAAATTATATACAAAACTGCATTTTTTAGAAGCAATAACAAATAAGAATAAATTCCATATAATAATATGCTGATGTTTTACTCAAAAAATATTAATTTAATGGTATAAAATTAACGTATTTTTGCTAATGCTGCTGCTCTCCGATCTGTATTTTGAAATAATGCTCTAATTAACTCTTTTACTTCATCTGCACTGAATTCAGCTGCCAAAACACCTTTGCCACCTGCCCATAAGTCAACAATCTCTCTCATGCTGGCTCCAAGCATCCATTGTAATTTCTGAAATTTGTCCCATTTACGTACATAATGATTGACCACCACCATCTCTTCTTTATCTTGAGTCTTAAATAACTGTGGAGTTTCACTTATAATAAAACTAAAAATTGAGATTAATCTTGTAGCACATGGAACTGTTATATCTTCTAAACATTTAATTCTTAAAATAATTTCTTCTAAACATGTATTAAGCAAAGTTCCAATAGCACGACAATACACACTTTGTGGTAAAGTGTCACTCCAGGCACGAGATAAGAATTGAAGTTGGCACAAACATTTTCTTACTGCTTGTTCTGCTTTTGGCAATAAATTCTCATCTGCAGATATATTTAGAAATATAGAATTATCCTGCAAATATTGTAATAATTGTTGCTTTTGCTTTCTCATCTGTGAAAGAAAGGAATCTTTTGCTAAAGTGCGAAGCAGAGAAATCAGATCCACAAAAGTGATGGAACATGTTGATAAAGGCACTGGAAGTTTACTTTGATAGTAGTGACCAACTGTTAATAAATGATGAGCTAAAAACATGCAATTATTATGATAAATTGCAGATTGTTGTGGGATTTCACTTATTCTATCCTGATGATAAACTGGCACAACATTACAATAAAGTTCACAAATATTTCGAGCAATGTAGAAAAGTTTAATGGCACAAATCTGATTGCTTTTTGTGGCTTCTTGAAGCACTTCATGAATTAAATCAAGAATTTCTTTAGTAAAAACACTTATTTCACATTTTGGAAATTTAAAATTCTCATTATTTAAACCTTTTTGAGGCATTAGAATCTTTTCATCTGTTTGTTCAGTAATAGTTTTATCTAATTCCACTAATTGATAAAGTGGAGTTGTATCTGGAGTAACTACAATTGTATTGTGCAATTCCTTCTTCAATAAATTTCTTGCCCGAACAAGAAATTCCTGGCACATTTTATTAGCAAAAAGAGTATCAATATTCTGTACATATTCTAATGTAGAAGACAGATCTTTTGATAAAAATCCTAAATTTATAAGCATATTTTGTAGATCAGTAGTCATTTCAATGACATTGGAATAACTTTCCAAGTCTTTTGTACGGCTCGGAAGAGCGACATCAAGACAATCTCGAATCAAGCAATTGCAGAATTCTTCACCTATTACTCTACCTAACATATTCATAATAACAAGTTCAGATTGCTTATCATCATCATCTCCGGTTAACGAAATATCAGAAAACAAATCGCATAAGAATGAAAATACAGTTTTCAAATTTAAAAACACTTTAACTGGCTCCGGTCGGTCTTCATTTATAACAGCAACTGTCACAGAATTATTGCTATCTTCTACGCCAACATCGAAAGAAAAAATCATTTTCAACACGTGCTGCATCAGTTTTTTTCCGAATGACTCGATAAATCCTTTTAATTTATTCATGAAATAGAGAGCTTTAATAAGGCTCATCCTCTCCACTGCATTTTCTTCTACAACAGACAATTTCGTCCGTCCGTCTTCGATGTCCCAGATGACAGACCGATCCCAGATCTCTCGCAGGTCATAAAGTAATTTTTCTTTTCTGCTGATCATCTCTATTTTAAGTAATTCAACAATTTTTACACTTTGATCAAAATTTAAAATTTCTTGCAAAATCTCTTGGGCATTTTGTAAATTTTGGGCAGAAACAAAATAATTCTTCTGAATCAAAGACTCATCAGCCGCTTCTAAGTTTTCGTGTATTTTAACCAGATTTTCCACTACAGCCGCAATGGTAATGGCATCTCGAAGTTGATCAGAAAGGTCCTGAAAGTCTGTAACAGCGCTTTGAATTTCTGGTTTAATCTCTTTTTCCATTTTATTTATAAGATTTTTCACTTCTTTCTGCGCGTGATTTAACTTCTTGTTTAAATCGGTGACGGCAAAATACGGAGAAATTTCCGCAAAATGTAATTTTAAAGCATCCTGAACGTCTAATTTAATCTCTTCTACACGTTTAGTAAGCTTCGTCACTCGATTATTTAAATCCTCCTTGTCCATTTTACCAGCCGAACTTAGAACGTCAGTCACAAGAGACATGTCTAACCTCTAATATAAACCTCAAAATATAAATCAAAACAACTTATCTTTCTAACGTATTTTTGCCAAACGACACTAACTTGCCGCCATTTACTCGCTTACGTTCGAAATTTTGTCGCACTGCGGCGCTCTCCGTTCACTTACCGGATCGATATTTTATTTATGTTAAATAAATATATAACATATTTTGAAAATCTTAAAAAAATAATTTTATCATCATTTTAATAACTTTATTTTAAAAAAGATTAATTTACTTAAATATTATTTTTATATCGCTACAAAAAAATTTAAAAAATTCAAATAATTGCCAAAAATAAAACCATATTTGTTTTTAAATTATTAAAAAATTACACATTTACATTTATCCTAAAAATAATGAATTTATCATTTGTTTCGAATAAAATTAATATCCGAGAAATTTTATTTAATTCTCCAGTTAGTAAATTTTTTAAAACAGACTTTAAGCGATTTTTTACACATAAAAAGGCAGACACATTTTTTTGCTCTTTTACCCAGTGGGCAGTAAGAGGGCCTCTTACTGCAAACCCTTGCTGCAAACCCATTATGGTTTCGGCCAGGACCACAATGGGGCGGCCGCGTGGTGGTGGGGGACGGGGGCCGACATATCCGGTCGGATTATCCCCCCGAACCAGCCCGTCCGGATTCGATCACGGGTCCCCCAAGGCGATAGGCTGCCTCCTTGACCGCTCGGCCAACCGGCCAGGCCAGGCCAACATTTAATCGCATTTACTTTTAAAATACACAATAATTAATTATTTATATATAATAATAAATTTCTAAATTGAACATTTCAAGTCATGGATACTTTTATAATTGCGATACATACCCTCTTTTATCCTTCATGATCTCGATATTATTTCGGGGTGATGGGGAACGAGATTCAGAACTCCAGGATTCAGAAGGAGGATGGAGAAAATTGGAGTCTTCTGCCGCGACATTTTGACCGAGGCGCACTTCAATTTTCAGCTACAAAGAATAAAATTATTCATTTAAAACGTTATAAAGCAAAATTACAAAGCTTACTAAATGGTATCAATTGATGCCATCATCCAAATGGTACCATTTGATGATTTTCGCTAAATGATTTTAGTTGGCGAATGCCAACTAAAATCATTTAAAATCATTGATATCACACTATTCATTACAAGATCATTTGATAACAATTCATATCATTTCCTTCATTTGATACTTGTACAAATTAAATAATTGCAAATGACTTACCATTTGTTACCATTTCCTATCAGTCAGCATTAACTTGTATAATTTGAAGTCACTTTACCATTAGAAAATGATTTCAAATGATATTTTTATAAGGCTTTATCAATTTTATATTGGTGGCATAGATTTCATTTGATCAAAACATAAATCCAAAACTTCGTAATAAATATCGAGTAACTGGTGCCTAAAAGACTACATTAGCATTGTTTCAATACCATTTTGTATGCCAATAAGAGATTCCAGTTGTAGATTATTTTGTGATCACATTTCTTGTAATTTACAAGAACTATGATACATATGTGGCGACAGCTTTGGTAATAAATCCAAAAGTCGCCACCAGGAGAAACTCTGAACTGAACAGACCTGGCAACCTGACCTATGATCTCACACTTTGGATTCGGACCTCGCTGTAGATGCATGTGTTCTCGCTTCCGTGTTCGACTTATACGATCGCGCCATATCTAATGTATATAATAAATTTAAGTTTTTTGTATGTGGCCTTGTTTGTGTACAGTAATTAATTAAGCACGAATAGCGCCACAACATAAAATAAAGATTCTGTCAATGGTTTTTCTAAATTTTGTCAGTAATCTTTCTGATATTAAGTCATTCTTTTAATTAGAGCTTAATTTTACCACCAATTTACTACTGCTATTTTAAACTGTTTATTTAACTGTTTTTTACCAATTAAATTTTCTCATATCATCCATACAACTAATTATGTATTGCTTTTTGAGTAATTTATTGGCAGCAGACATTTCCAATAATTACAATCATTCAGAATTTTTATTCATTCTAAATGATCATGATGATGAACCTTTACACTCTTTTCTCATTTTAAGTCTTCAGAAATTTAGTGATATTGTTAGTAATTATGTTTGATTGGGCTGCAATTTGAAAAAATTGTCTATAAATTCCCACTGTCATCCGTCTGTCTGTCTTTCCTTAATCTCGAGGAGTTAAATAGATAAAATCTGAGACCAGATATTGTAACCTTAGGCCCCGATTAACTATATATGAACTTCTGATGCAAACCAAAAGTCATATTATTTCAATTCAAAACTTTTCCCATGAAAGCAGTTAATAGATGACTGGCACAACTCTATTGCTAATAAAGTTGTACCAGTCATCTATTAACTGTGCTATTAGTTGTGCCAGAAAAAGTGTGATGTACAGAGGCAAGATACTACTAATTTGAGATGGAGAGCATATATTTTAAATTAAATAAATTTAAGATTGCAGCCTTGCTCAGATTGAGAGTAATTACTCATTTTTAATCTATTTTTGAACTATCAGATCAAATATTTTATAATTCTAATTGTATCCTTTTCAATATTTCAGTTTAGTATATTTTCTCTATACAGTACTAATTATTTGTAAGTACTGATAATATATATTATTAGAGATTTTTATTAAATATAATGTATAATAAAGATTGCTGATTGGAATAAACCTATATCTTGTTAAAATGAAGATTGCAGGAAACTTGTTTTGGTTTATATGATGTATTTCTAATTCAAGTTTATTTTCTTGCAAAGTACATTATAATCAATTAACTTTCCATCGCAGTAATGAACATAAAAGTTCTATTATTTCAGTTTCATTACAGATTAATTTCTTATGATTCCTAGTTTTTGTTTACAATTTTGCAGAGAAAATATTCTATTTTAAGAAATTCTGATATTCACCCTAATGAAATGAATATTTCTGATATTCACTCTAATGAAATGAATATTTCTGTCCTCTCAAATCATAATGGTAAATTAAACTGTTGGTGTTAAAATAAGGTTTTTGGTGTGTTGATCAAGTAATCTGACTTTCAGTAATCTTCTAGATCTCATCAAATAATCTTCTAGACCGAAATCACTAAGGATAGTTTCCAGTTCTCTGACTAAACTGCATTGCAGCTCCACATTTCAGGTCAACACTGCCCTGGGGCATCTACCTCACCGAGGGACAATCTTACATATCTGGACTTAGAGACAGTTCTGAAGTAATTTAGGAGAACTTTTGTAAGCTCCTTTTGAGGGTTAAACTTTTGAAGGAGACTCATTTTCATGTCTACACTCCCACATACTCATAATTCCCATTGGCAAACCCACAAAATCATTTTGTAAAATTTCATTTATGTTATTTAATAATATATAAATAAATGATCATCAGAATCCCCACAGGTAGATAAAGTAAAAAAAAAAAAAAAATGCTTTATTGAAAACATGTAAAAAGAAAATTTTGTTTAAATTTGTGTAGAATACTCTGTATTTGTATAGAAATTTGTATCCGATAGTTGTATTTAACTTGAAAAACAATGTCATTTCTTTTAATCTACCGATAGTTCTTGTCAATTTTTCCCTGATTATTTTCATATATTATTAACAAAAGGATTAATAAGCAATTATTTATTATGACATCATCACAATTCTGAGCTGCAATTTTTAATCATATTCTTAATTTATTCAATTTAAAATATATGTTCTCCATCTTAAATTTGTAGTGTCTTGTTCCTGACATCCATGGTTCCCAATTAGTGGTACACGAAATTGCATGAAGGGGTACGCGCAGCAATCTAAAATCGGTCAATTTAAAATTTAAATGCATGAGATGAAGCAATCAAAAAAATAATGGATGGACCCAAGGACTGTATACTACAAGGATGGCCAGATCCCTATTCTACAATGTTAGCCAGGAATGGCAAGTTAGTGACGTCAGCACGAGTCCTGACCTCTCTGTTTACATAGAGCAGGGTGTGCACCTGTTTAGTTTTCGCTTTTAATATTCGCCCAATTTTGTGATTAACGAAGTGATTTATTTTAATATTTCGGTAATTGTTTTATTTGACTAAGTTTTTTATAAGGTAAGATGATTTAAATATAAGTCATTAAATATTTAAAGCTATATTTTTATGTTAGGTGAAGAACAAAATACTGAGTACTAGGTGTGCTGTGTATGGTTGCAATAATAACCTTCTTTTTTCAAATTGGAAGCAACCTGTTTACATCGGGTTTGATCAAAAAATGACAAGAGAAATACTTTTAAAATTAATAGCAGAACTTTATTTACTATCGTATAATGTAGTAGCTTGCGTCAGTGACTGTAGTTGCAGTAACATAAGTTTATGGAAAGAATTGAATGTGAATATCAATGAAACGTTT